TTGGAATGCAGCACATTGCCATGACAGTTGAGGGCCAGTTCACACCAATTACGGTGCATTCCAGAGCGATAGCTGCTGGAATGCACAGCAATCGCTCACTAAACTCCCCCCTTCGTTCTGGGGAGAAAGGAGGCATGGCAGTGCATTCAAGTCAATAGCACCGCAGCCACGCCCGCAGTGCGATCAGACACATGGCAAAATAGTGCCTACATTCCGGTCCAGTGCAAATGCAAAAAAAAAAAGCTGCATTTTTTTCACGAGTTCACACTGGCCTGGAAAACAGGTAAAGTTTTGCCACACGTCAGATCGCAGTGGGTGTGTGGCTGCAGTGCAGTTGACCTTAATGCACCGCCACGCCCCCTTCCGCCCCAGAACGAAGTGGGGAGCTTAGTGTGGAATTACAGTGTGTTTCAGCAGCTACCGCTCTGGAACGCACCGTAATTGGTGTGAACTGGCCCTGAGGTCAGGTTCACACCATTTTCCGGACCAGATCTGGAATGCAGTGCATTGCGTTTTTACCACTTTTCTTAAAGGTACGTTCTAGTGCATTTGCATGTGGTTTTGATGTGTTCCCATGCGTTCCATTGCATTCCAGACCAGAGAAAATGAGACATGCAGTATTTTTCTGGTCTTGACGGAACGGACTGCGCTGGCGTGAACAGAGCCCAGAAATGCCAAAGGCATGCTTTTTTGGTCCAGGAACAAACTATTGGTGTGAACAAGCCCTGAGGCTTGGGATCTGCTTGATCTGAGAGAGCAAAGCTTTTAATATACGACGTTGATATCTGAGAATGAGTCTTGGAGTGTAGAACTTAGATGTAAAAGCGATGCTTGGGCCGCAGGACATTGACAAGACTGGGAGGCAAAGAATCTGGATCTGAGAGAAGAGAAACTTTGAATACACCGCGCTATCTGACAATTTGGCTTGGAATGCATGACTTGGAAGTAACAATGAAGCTTGGAATGCATGACATAGATGTAAGAGCGAGGCTTGGAATGCGGGACATGGATGTGAGAGTGAGGCTTGGAATACAGCACATGGAGTTGAGAGCAAGACTTGGACTGTAGGACATGGATGTGAGAGCGAGGCTTGGATTGTAAGACATGGATGTGAGAGTGAGGCTTGGAATGCAGGATATGAATGTGAGAGTGAGGCTTGGAATGCAGGATATGAATGTGAGAGCGAGACTTGGAATGCAGGATATGAATGTGAGAGCGAGGCTTGGAATGCAGGATATGAATGTGAGAGCGAGGCTTTAAATGCAGGACATGGATGTGAGAGCGAGGCTTGGAATTCAGGACATGGATGTAAGAGCGAGGCTTGGAATGCAGGATATAAATGTGAGAGCGAGGCTTGGAATGCAGGACATGGATGTGAGAGCGAGGCTTGGAATGCAGGACATGGATGTGAGAGCGAGGCTTGGAAACAGGACATGAATATAATAACGAGGCTTGGAATACATGACGCTAATATATAAAAACGAAGCTTGGAACGCAAGATTTTGATTTGGGAGTGAGGCTTGAAGCGCACAATAGCGCTGTCTGAGCGTAGAGTTCCTGAGCTGATGTGAATATGAGGCTTGGAGTGTGAGCAAGGAAGGAGGAAGAGCAGAGAGGTGGACTAGAGGTGATATGAGCACAGTACATGAGGTAATGTAATGATTGAACATTTGTAGCAGAGACATATAAATAAAATGTCAGTTTCTAAGTCCTGCTGCTCGGAGAGCATATAGGGAGGGACTGCTCATCATTTCTAGATGTCTTGTAATATGTTATAAGTGATGAGACTACAACTTGCTTCTCTCAGTGGTCATATTCAGCAATATATCAAAGAGACCCTGTCATGTGCAGGGAAAGCACAGAAAAGTCAAGGATTTTAAATGCTTCAGGTGATTTTGTTTTCCTAATTTTTTACTGACTTGCAATGTGCCTCTAAACTTGCTAAGCAATAGTGATGTGCAGGGGCTTGAGTTCACCTCAGCACGTGCACACCTGTCACAACACTTCCCTCTGTCAGTTGCAGCCAGGGCATTCCTCTTCCTGCAGCTGCATGTCACACAGGTGCGGGAAATGACCCTGCCGCAACCAAGAGGGGCTGTCGGGGACAGTTTTGGATGGGCTTCGTTATGTATGCTGACCGCGCAGAGCTGTACTGCAGCCAAGACTGATCCTTACAATGTTGTCGGATCCACCCAACTGCCTGATTGACAGCTGGCTCGGCCTCTCTACAGCCAGAGCCAGCTGTGCCCGCCCCCTCTCCTGTCTGTGCCTCCAAGAATGGGGAGGGCAGGGGGGAAACCCTGCAGGGTGCGGCGACTGACAGTCACTGCTCTCTGCAGGGAGAAGATCGGAAACTGAGCGATCGTTCGTATGTGATTGCTCAGTTCTCAATCAATAGAGCCAACATGTGACAGCTTCAGTGTCGCACGTCGGCTCTAACTATGGGGATAGGTGTATTTCACTCTCCCCATAATTCTCAAAGTGCCTTGTGACAGGGTCTCTTTATGATTTGGAGCAGCCATTGTGAAAAACTAGCTAGGAAAGAGTGAATGATGCCAGTAAACGCTTACAGTGTTCCTAGACCTAGCGTAGGATAAAGACAACAGCAAAATGCATCCATGTGCTTCTGGGAGCCTTCTGTCACCATGAAACTGTCAGTGAGGATTAAAGTGTATGCCTGGGAAAAATTCCCTGCTGTACTGCAGAACATCTTCCCCTCTTCTCATCTCTATAACATGGAGGGGTTCTGCAGTCCAGGAGGGGAGAGCTGACCACGCTGCTGTGGTTTTAGTGCAACATAAGCAGAGTTGTCAGCTCATTACAGAAAGGGCTCTTTGGGTTTCTGGCAACAGGTATTTTTTTTCTCTACTTTTAAAAAGACAAAGCATGGGGGGATGCGTTCTACATTTTCCATAGATGTACTCTTTTTATTTTTTGAACAATCATATGCTTTGACTGCAGGCGATTTGTAATGGTAAGTCTGTCTGCATGGTGAACTTAGGAAGGCAATATATCAAGTGCGCCATCTGGTGGTGGATGTGTGGAAGTGCAGATGCACAGCCAATTCGAATGGGCAAGAGAGAAGCAAGTGAGTGCTTTGCACACAAATAGTTTTCTGTAAACTTGAGTAACTTGCCCTTTTATAAATTAATATTCATAGCAGAAAATATAAAATACGGCATGGTGGGCACATACAAGGAGGTGCAGGCTTTATAGTGAGATGCAGAGATACAGTGATGACTGGCTGGGAATCACATGGTGGCCATACACAGCCTGAACCTGATATGTTCTATATAACTTGTGACATCTGGGTGAGGATCTGGTTTTATTTAACACACACACATGGGGCTGTGTATAAAAAGTGTGCTAACAAGCTACAGCGGCAGGGGTTCAAGCCCTTTGGAATGCAATATGTGTGCTCTGAGCTTCTGGTCCACATTTTAACCACTGCCATAGAAGCAGGAAAGAGCAATGAAGAAAACAAAGCCAGGGAAGACGGGACACATTTACAAAAACGTAGTCCCCACCAAATGCAGCTGTTCATTAAAGCTGAACTCCAGGATAAGCAATATTGTCTAAATACAAGAGGTATATGTATTCATACTTGAATCTTGGTGAGCTTTGTGTATTACAGCTAGATCTGTGCAGTAATCCAATCCAGGGAGCTTTCTGTAATAAAGATCAGTCACTGCTGCTCTCATTCCTTGTGCAAGGTAAGTGGTCTTGTCTCCGCCCCCTCCTGTAGTTTTCTGTAGGGGGGGGGGCTTGCTGGGTCCCTCCCACAGCTCTGCACAGGCTATGTACGGCACAGTTAGGATGCCACTGATACTTTTACAAGGTAATAACTGGGTTTGCAAAGGCATTTAGTGCACACAAAGTGGATTGATATCCTGTGTGGCTACTGAGGATTATATTTAGATGAAATTGTGCATGGAATTTGTGCATAGAGATTCAACAGTAACCTTTTCCCTTTCAAATTACTGAGGATATAGTAAATATTTACTATGTGCTCTGTTTATTAATGAACAGGAAGTGGCTCATAACAGAGGCTTCCTGTCCATAACTGGGGAGATGGTAAATATTTACCATCTCCACAGTTTGTGAATGAAGAGGAAGCAGCTCAGTACAGAGGCTTCCTGTCCATTCATAACGGTGGAGATGGTAAATATTCATCATCTCCACAGTTTGTGAATGAAGAGGAAGCAGCTCAGTACAGAGGCTTCCTGTCCATTCATAACGGTGGAGATGGTAAATATTCATCATCTCCACAGTTTGTGAATGAAGAGGAAGCAGCTCAGTACAGAGGCTTCCTGTCCATTCATAACGGTGGAGATGGTAAATATTCATCATCTCCACAGTTTGTGAATGAACAGGAAGCCTCTGTACTGAGTACTGACAGTAAGTACACACACACACACCATATTGTGGTGTACATTATGCACATGCACTGCGATACTTTAGAACACACCGCAGTGCTTGTTTTTTTAACTTGGAGCTTAGGGTGAGTATAATTTTGTTATTTTAGCACCTAGACACAAACAAGCATTTAACCCTTGCATTGAGGGCATAGGCCCACAGCCAGGGTTAATTAAAAAATTCCTGGAGTTGTTCTTTAAAGGAGAACACAACTTGTCACCACCTCAATCCACCTTCTCTCACCACCATCCCTATGCTTGCCTGTTCTAGAATGGACACACATTTACTAGTTTAGTAATAAAGATGTAAATTCAATATCTCATGACCTGTGGAGTCTTTGTGTTTTGGGTGCCCTATTTTAATTCATGTTTTCTTGTTCAGATTGGTGACAATGTTTTGTCATTCATTGAAGAATTTGTCTCTCTGGACCAGAAGCAGCCAATTCAATTCCTGCATTCTACCACTGCTGCCTAGAAGATGTCTGTATGCAAGGCCAGTTGGGACAGCTGATTACAAAAGTCGTAAAAAAGGACTAGTAGGATGTGCTCCAATTTCTCCCAACCTCCATAGATCTCCTGAGGGCTATGGTAAAAGTCTTCTTCTGGCATCACATCTGCCCTTGCTTCCCCTTAACAGGAACTTTATCTCTGCAGCTTCAACTGGACAGGTGACTGGTGACCATGGAGTCTATGCCAAAATGGCAGACTCTGCTCCTGTACATTTGGCTGAAAGTGCGCTTATATCACTGCAAGAAGTTACAGGATTACCATGGTGGGCCAGCATTTTATGTACAACTGTTGTGCTCAGGACAGCGGTAACCCTCCCTCTGTCCATATATCAGATGAACATTTTAGCCAAGGTGCGTATTCTTCTTGCTTGATTTACCTTTTTTTTAAAGTTGGACTTTTGGTTCAGTTTCTGTATTTGTAAATAAAGCTGAAAACGAGGCAGTTATAAAGACACAAATGAATGCAGCTCTGTATCCATTAATACATCAGTCAAATGTACTTTTTAAATGCAAGCAGTGCAAGTGATTTGATATCAGCCTGTTACAATCCCTGTACAGCAGACCATAGACTAGGGGAAGAAGGAGGCAGCACATGCAGCCAAACAATTCATGTGCTAAGGAGGAGCATGCTGGTAGGAGAAGCAGAGTGACAGAGAGATGAGCTCATCTGTCTGCTGAACTCCTTCAATGTCCAGTCACAGGTTGGGGTAGAAGGAGTACTGTAAGTGTTAATTGCAGCAGAAAAAAAATCACGTCTTCTACAATGTCAGAGAGGGCTGTGCCGTGTAGCAGAGCTGTGTAAATCATGTTTGGATGGACAGGAATACAAATCTTTGGCAGGTAAAACACCTACTGTATATGTAATTCATCTGTGTGTTTAGAAGTTTGCCTGGAGTTGAACTATAAATCTAGAGCGTATTTTAATCATTCCTCCAGACATTGTTGTAGCGTAACAGTCCAACCCTCCACCAATCAGATTCAGATCTGCCTTGGAATGTGATTGGTGATGCAGGAAACAGAGAGGAAGTTCCAGAAAATAAGCTTTAAAGCAGTGCATTCCTAGCGGCCTTTGTGGAGCACTATGTGCTTATTCTGTTGGGGATTACACAGGACTCCGAATTCAATTAAAAAAAATAATGTATTGGGTAGCATCTGCCTCAAGTATAATGTATATTACAATGAGAAGTAGAGATAGAGAGAGCTTCTATTTGTGCTGTAAGAGAGAGGGGGTAAAAAACCCAGTAAACTGCAACCTCCCCACCTTCCCCAGAAGCACATTTTCCTCTCTCCTAGCTGCTGTGATGGGTTTCTAAGCCATTAGGACCAGAAAAAAACCCCCTCCTGGAGGACCAAAAGGAAGGGAGATTAACGCCTTCATGATCACAATGACATAAAAATCCACATAAAAATGTCCTTTGCCAAGAGACCATTTTATTAACTTTGCACCAGAGAACTAAGAAGGAGCAACTGTGTGTGTTCCTAGTTCTCAGGTCCGATGTCAAACTGAAAGATAAGTCATAGAGTCATTGTCTAGTTAACTGACGCTGCTAATCGTGATCTGGGCATCTAATGAACATTTTACTTTGCCCTGTATGGACAAAGAAAGGGTCAGATTAGGTTCTGCCAATTTAACTTTGGATGACATGATAGTTTATAGTGTAAACATCCAATCTATTACAGAGCTGTGAACTTCAGGCTGTTTTAAAGTAAAGTGCAAAGTGTAGTAACTCTCGGTAACCAATTACTATACTATATAGTCTATTAAGAAAAAGATGAAACCTACATTATTTTTTTCTTGCATTACATTTTCTAATTTAGTCTGTGGATTACTGCAAGTTTCCTGACTGAGTTGTTTTTAATCACTTGACTGCAGAATTTCTTTAGCCTATAAAACAGTATTTCAAGGGATTTGTTTTAACTCTCTGTACATGTTAAACCAAAATAGACATGTAAAGCCTATTTTCACCTTTTGTAAGTGATTTATTGTGGTAATGTGGAAGTGCAGTGATAATGTATATGTGAAGAGGAAAGCTAACAAAAATAAGTTTCTGTGTTCATATACATCAGCTGCATATGCCTGCTTTAAGGCTTTAAAATTATTATTATACAGAATTTAAATAGCTCCAACAGTTTAACGCTTTACAAATTAAAGGGATGCAATACAGTTACAATACAAGACAAGAGGGTTACAATCTGAAACAGAGATTTTATCAGTATCACTATAACCCTGTTAAAGCATCTCTGTCCCTAAAATAAAGCTTCCATGCAAAGAAAACATGAAATGTATGCCTCTCCTGCTGCCCATACCAATGATCTTGTAGTAGTAGAAAAGAATCCGCCAGCTAAAGCTCCTCTAGAATCCAACACTTCTGCGTGTTTTCAAAGCTCCTATGTGTTCAGTCGGTCAATCTGACAGCCCTTATGTCAGAACTGTGTCTTCGAATGATGTAAAAGTGAGTGAATCAACCACAGCGCACAGCAGGGGCCAGCTAATTGACACTCCTACAAGTGCCGGATTCTGCAGGGTGTCAGACAGTAGTTTATCTGCAGCACGAGAGGTGAGTATTCAAAGTCTTGCAAGGGCACCTTTCTTGGACAGTATAATTTTACCAGCAATCATTTTTGTTGGTTATGTGTTTAGATGAAGCACTGAGATCTTGAGGAATACTGAATTAAGTTTTACTTGCTTAGAAGAACATTACATCAGAATACAGCATTGTAAAGAAAACGGAGAGAGAGAAAAACTTCCTATGTATCATAGATAAGCATGAACATATAAACTAACATTGCACTACAGCACCATCTACAGCTCAAAAGACAAATTACAGTTAGTAATGCAATCGGTATATGCTGTTGTATTACCAACATATTTACATTTTGTGTTTTCTTCTTCTTTTAAATAAGGGGTACATTCAACCATGATTCACCATAGTAACAGTCTCCTGTTTTATGAAGCACTTTCCTGCTTTATGAAGCATATTTTGAGGTGGATGCACCCAGACACATTTATGACTGAACCGAATACCCCAAAGACTTTCTATGGACATTCACACTGCTGTTACACTAGTCTCCTGTGTTCTGCAGTTTCACACGGGAGAGGTTAAAACGTGTTTTGAGCGCAGTCACCCTGAACTACGACAAACTCGTATTGGTCAAAGATATGTATAGAGTTTTTGATAAATGGCTTTGCCATGTAAGTAACATGCTATATGTGTATGGGAAGAGGTAATGGGGATCTCCTGATGTTGTGTGTTGAAAGAATGATTCAAGAAAAAGAAGAAATCAAGAAAAAAAGAGTGTAAGGTAAGACGAGGTAGAGACTAAAAGAGTGGAGGGGATGGTGTAAAAAAAAAAAGTGAGGGGGGTTGAGGGAAGGATAACGGTACAAAGGAGGGAGCGAGTTGTTGGTGATGAAGCAAACCTACCTATTCTACGTACTGTCGGCTTGGACTGAAAAGTTCTTTGTGTCTTTGGTGGTAGGTGGCATATGGTGGGTGCACATGGTACTTTTATTTATGTTTTCTGTAACATTGGCTGCCAGGATATATAAAGTGCAGGCAGGCAAATGGGGCTGGGTTTGCCCAGCCTTTATAAACAAGCCCCTGTTACTTTCTGTCTTGTCATGGTTCTTGTGTTCATGTACTCTTGATAGTATTTGCATATGAAGCAGTGTTCCACAGTATCTAATGCTAAGCAAACTCTTATGTTTTGATTCGTTGTAATATATGTCTTTCTTCAGCTAGGTGGAAAATTTGCAGTCAGAGATTGCAAGTTTAGCAAAACAGCTTCATTATGAGGTATCTGTCTATGGAAAACAGCAAGGATGGAGTGAAAAAGATTCCAAGTAAGTTTAAAAGTACTTGTGGCTAAACTATAACAGTAAAGGAGGGGAAATATGAAAGTGGTGCCCATTGCTACTCATAGGGTTGCGTACAACATCAGCTTGTGAAAGAAGCTACATAAGCATGCTTATAGGTGCAATGCAGGGCAAAACCAGCAGTAGGCGAACACTGCTCTGTTCAATCCAATTTAACATTCAGATGCTTCAAAACTGCTTCACAAACCCAAACAGGCATGTAGACTATAAGCTATCATGTCACATTTTCTAGTGCTAGTTTACAAATGAGAGTTGGAATCTGATTAGATGCTGGGGACATTACCTTAAAGTGTATATAAACCCCAACAATGAACATCTATTTGCTCCCTTAAAGTGCCACTTACCTCGTGAGATAAATCTCTCATCTCTGAATTGGTGCTGACACTGTCCTTCCTTCTGGAGAGTGGCCACTTTTAGTCCCCATGCTCCCTGTGTGTGTTAAGTAATCGCTGCTCCAAGCTCACTCCTGTGATGGACTACAATCTCACATTTAGTTTACTAATTTGTACTGAGATTGTAGTCCATCACAGGAGTGAGCTTGGAACGGTGGCTACTTTACAACAGACACAGGAACCATGGGGAACAAAAGTAGCCACCCACCAGAAGGAAGGACAGTGTCAGCACCAATTCAGAGATGATTTGAGGATCTACAGCTGAGTGATACACAAATAAGATTTTTGTTAATAGTTAGGGTTCTTGAATGCATTTTCAAGATTTAACTACTGAGTTTAGTGCCACTTTAAGGTCTCTTAAATATACAATTAAAAGGGTTTTATTTCATATCTGTTTGATAACTAGAAGAAAAAACCCCCTGCTAATTTGGTTAGAAATCTTGTGAGCTGATAACTAGCTCTCTGCTGACATATCAGATGGCCTTGTTCCAACTTCTCTGTGGACTATGGAATACCACCATGTTATCGAGGTAAGGACAGGGGAGGGGGGTATTCTGTAGCCCTAACACACTTTCTGTTCGAAGGTGACAACACTTTTTCAAAGATTTAGTATAGTAAGTGAATGTTGTCATCCAAGTACAGCAAGTGTGTTCTTTGCAAGATCACCAGGTCAAATATAGAAAAAAGAGCTGGAAAACAGAAAAGCTAATGCCGTCACCACCTCTCTAAGCTGTCTATCTTTTTTGTGTTTCGATACACTTTAATTACTATTGTCTTTTACTGTCCTAGTCCTCTATATTACAATATCGTTCATTTCTTATGCAAACACTGATTATCTGTGGCTGGTTCTGAAGTGAGAATTGTTCTAACAACATCCATTGGTTTTAGCATGTTCTTAGTCACATTGTGATGTTGCTCATCCATAATAGAGAGTCCTTGTTAGAGGGAATTCAAGCATTACTCTCGACAGGTTTCTTATAATGCAAACATTCTTAACTGTTATGAATGAGTAAAATAACAAAAGTAACCCAGCTTGGCAATCGGACAACTAGCATCTTCAAAAAGAGGTCGGCAATGATTGTCTTTCCACAAATGAAAGCAAAAAATGATATAACATATGTAAGGGGAAAAAGTGGTGTCAACTATTTATTCCATAGCAATATTGTCATCAATAAGGCTTTGTGAACAGATAACATTGATCTTACTTTTCTCTCTTGCTTGATATGTACTGTATGTCTTAACTGAAAGCAGTTGTGTCTAGTGCCTTGAACCTTTTTGGCAGCACTGCAGAGCCAGAGAGGGTGAGGCAGAGCTAGCTTGAGCTTTAAATGGTTACAGCTGTAGTGCCCACTGAGGAGACTGGCAGGCTGATGCCCAGTAATTACCTGACCCCTATGAGCCAGCTGACTTGGTGGCATGTCTTCTAGCACAGCAAGAGTCTCAAACCCCAGAATGCTAAGCAGCGATTGGAGAGAATAAATGAAAGTTAGACCATACTGCTCTAGCACCCCACCAGAGGTCCCTTGGGTAAAAGTTGTATTTCCAACATAATATTTTCTAAATGCCTACAGTGATACGGTGAAGAAGGGCAAATTACCAGTGGCTACCTGCCATGGATTGATACCTGCTGATACTTATAATAGCAAGTTGATGACTCAAAAAGTGGATTAAAAGATTAGTGCTGAGGTTTGTTCTCTTGCATTAGTTAGGTATTCCTAGCCCATCTCCAATTATTTATTTCTTGGTAAAAACGTATTTTATTTGTAGTAAACAGATGTTACTATTGCCGTAGACAGCAAAGGCCATCAATTATTTGCAGATGATACCCGTGCCAAATGATCTTTCTATCTCTTGACTACTTAATATCCTAATCCAGTGCTTCTCAACTTCTGTAACCTCAGGACCCACATTTGTCCTTGGTCATTAAGTTGAGACTAAAATCACACAGAAATGTTCCAGCATTGCGGTACCGCACGTTCCTCTGCGGGCAGTTGTGGTTTGTGGTGTCATTTAAATAAATGGCAACACACCTCCCACACCAGAACGCGCAGTAGGTGCGATTGCATGGTACAGAGTTAATCGCACAGGACCATTCGATTTAATGCACTGTACTAGTGTGAACGGGCCCTCAAAAACACTGACAGACACAATCTCACACACACATACACACTGCCAAAAAATGTAATTTTTTTTTTTAAAGATCCACCCAGTCTCCCTACCTTACGAGAACTGGAGTGGATACTCAGTCTGGGGTCCAGTGTGAGCTGCTGTGCTGTGACGGAGCTCCATCCATATGTACATTGCCTGTACAAATCCCTTGCACACCCTGTAGAGATGTCGGGAGCCAGAATGTGATGTCACTCCCATCCAGGCACCCCTACAAGACATGCAAGGAAGCTGTAAGCAATGCATGCATGGAGCAAGCTCCCTCGTGGCCATAGCTCCAACCCGCCCCACCTCAAGCGGATACTCGGCACCGAGCAGCATGTGAATGGCTGCTTGGTGCAAGAACTGACAGTGCTGCACTAGGTGAAGGCTGAGAAGTCTCTCAACTAGAAAAGTGGAAGGCATGCAGCAACCCACTGAACACAGGGTCACGACCCACTTTTGGGTCACTAATCCATCTGCACAAAAAACACAGCTGTCCCCTCTCTTATATCAGGGTAGGTACAAACTGTCATATGAAGACTCCAACCTGACTGCTAAACGTTTTCTCCTATGCTCAGTCTTTTTGAGGTCTAGGCATAGACATTCCAATCTTGCCAATAACAATCCTCAAATAACCATGCATACCTTTTTAAGTTAGTTCAGTTGTAAATGAGACAGCCCATGTACTAGTCTGTGGCCTGGTAATTAGAGATGCCCTCAATATTTGGAGGCTTCTAACACTGGTATGTAGCCCCTGGACAAATTCTCTGCAAGATGTCTATCTTCTGCAGACCTTTTGCAGGTACCTAATCAATGTATAGGTACCTAATCAATGTATATTTTCCTTTCCTTTTGAACAGATTTCATTTTCGCAAAAACATGAAAAGAATAGTAACTGATCTATATGTTCGGGATAACTGTCATCCCTTTAAAGCCAGCCTGATTATGTGGATCCAAATCCCCATGTGGATATTTGTGTCTGTAGCTCTGAGGAATTTCAGCTTTTGCACGAGTGGATCCACCACAGGTAATTGTAACATATTTATTAGTTTTTTTGCAATGTTCATATGATTATTTTTTTTAGGTTTAATGGAGACATACAAGAGAAAGCGAAAAAAAGAGTCACTGTATAACCGTAAAGCAAAGTTACATAGTCTTGTCTTTAACAAAGTTCCTTTTAGTTTATCAAATTGATAATTAACCTTGAATTTCACATCAGTAAGTTTTTTTTAGTAGGGCCGTGTCACTGGTTGGTCACTGGTTGGTCAAGGGAAAGCTATACGTGAACATTTTAACATGGCTTTACTAATACAAGTTTGTCTTTGGAAATGGTGAATGGTAAATGTAGGAATAAACTGGAAATCACACATATGTTGAACTACTTGGAGGAACAGATTGTATTCTTAATACATCTGGGATGAGAAAGACAAGCTAAGATAGGTAATGCCAGATACAAATGGGTTGTAAAGGATGGGCACTTTTGTAGCCGGCTTTCTAGCCAATCGGGAAGCCAAGAAGGTCAGCAGGGGCAGCATCCATCCTTCTCTTGACAGGCTTCCTTTAACCCCTTAAAAGATAACTGGGTGTGACGTACGCCCGGCCCAAACCCGCTGTACGTCAATCCCACGTGACTATACACAAGTCTAAACCGGGCGTGAGCATCACAAGGACGTGGCAATAAGACTCTCAGCCTCACCCTGCGCAGAGATTTCCCAGCTCGCAGGACACTATCTCAGGCCAGCAGACTGAGAGCGATCATCACCAGGGTTGGTTAATTTCGCAGTTAACCCTTTACCCACAAACGTTCACTGCCACCATGTGTTTTTCGGAACACAAACCGTGCACAGCAAATGCTGCGACAATTTAAACACTTAAACAATGCCTGTGATACCGCTGTCCTCCCAGACAGGAATATGACAGGAGTCCCTATACAGTAGCGCTCTTCACAGAGGCAAGGATGCTTTAAGTTCAAATTTAGAGCGTAGAGATAAGCTTAACGATTTTTAAGATCGTCCTTTAATAAAAGAAACGGTGCAGAAAATATACAGAAAAAGATTGAATAAAAAGAGACAAAAAAAAATAATATATATATATATCTAACAGCAAAATAAAAGTGAATAAAAGGAGAATACTCCACAGTCCTGGAATTAGGAGTTCTGACAGAGTTCAATAAGCAAAGGGAAGTCTGCATGGCTCATCTTCAAGCAGGCTTCCAGCAGATAAAGATTAAAGGGGAACTCTTCTGCGATGTTAAGTCTTCTAGTTCCTTGGTTTTTAAAAAACCAAGAGCCACTCTAGTCGCATTGACAAAATATTTTATAAGCCCCTTTTTGGAGGTTGTCCCGGAGCCGGCCCCTAGGGCAGGGCTGGGGAGGGAAAGCAGGCGGAGGATGAACCTTTTATTATTCACTATCCCCACCCAATTCCAAATTATGAAATATAGCTTGATTTTCAAACTCAGGCTTTATGACTTTCGTGTGAATGCGGGGTCACCACCCCTCCCGAGACCTGCTTGTTCATATAACATGTCCACTGGTGACAAATGAGTGCCTGGTGCCATGCCTTTAATTAGGGACAGCCATATAAGGCTTCGAGAGATTTCGGACTTTCACTAGGGCTGGGGCAATAAAAGATCACAGCCACCAACCAGATCTCTGTTCTGCGGAATGCGGAAGGCCTGACAAATGACTAATTGAACGCCTGCATTTGCTCTGACGGGGGAAACAAACAAATTCTATTTTTTAAAATATTTAGACTCAGACCCCCATTATCGTCACAATGGGGTCAGTGTTTTCCCCCATAGTTCTCTTAAGGGTCACGGGAGGACATATACTAACCTCCTCCCGTGACCCAAAGCTCAGTATATCGCGAGCTACAGCTCGAGACCACTGCAGCCGGGACGGATCCCGACCATGCTGTCGAGATCCACCCAGCTGCGTGAATGACTGCGGGCTCTGCCTATCTAGAGGCAGAGGCAGCTGTACCGCCCCCCCTCCCCCGTCCGTTCTAGTGTCAGCGCTGCAGGATCTGAGCTGGGAGGGGGTAATCCCTGCGGGAATCGGTGACTGACGGTCACTGCTCTCTGCAGGGAGATGATTGAGAAGTGAGCGAGCGACGGTATGTGTTTGCTCACTTCCTGATCTATTGAGCCGACGTGTGACAGTTTCATTGTCACACCGGCTCTAACTATGAGGATGAGTGATTTTTCACTCACCTCATAGTTCTCCTTTTATGGACCCTTTTGCTGCCAAGGCCTTTTTTTGTGTTTTTTTTTTTTTTGCACACATGATATAATCCACATTTTAGGCCTGAAAATTACTTAAAACGCCCAAAACATTATATATTTTCTGAAAGCCAAGACCCTGTAGAATAAAATGGTACCCGTTGCAAATTTTCATATTGCAGAATATTTGCGCAACTTTTTATCAAAGCCAAAATTTTTGTAAAAATGCACTTACGTCAATGTTAAATGTAAATTTTTTTTTTGAGCCTTTAATTTAACACACGGGTGCGCCTACGTACGAAAACGACAATCGCACTACACATGTTTGGTATCGCCGCGCACGCCAGAGTGAGAGCAATAATTCTAGGGACAATATTTACATGCATCTCTAAGCGGACAACCTGCAGGGGCTTTTAAATTGTCGTCTATTGACTTTTTGGGGTACTAAATTTTGTCAGTTTCACCGACGCATGCAATTTTTAACCTGGGCATGTTGGGTATCTATTTACTCGTTGTAACCTCATCTTTTATTAAACGGTTTTACATTGTGTTTCGGGCCACTACATTTTTTCCACAAAATTTTTGGGTTTGATAAAAAGTTACGTCAATGTCGTGCAACATAAAAATTTGCAACTGCCACCATTTTATTCTAACAGGGTCTTGGCTTTCAGAAAATATATAATGTTTGGGGGTTTTAAGTAATTTTCAGCCCGAAAATGTGGATTATAACACGTAAGCAAAAAAAGGCCTTGGTGCTTAAGGGGTTAAATAAGCAATTGAAGTGCAGATTGCGCTTCAATAGATTATTGCTCGTCTTCAGGAGAAGTGATGCAATCCGTGTCCCTCCCAGTCCCATAGAGCGGGGATGGAGATCGGTGAACGGAAGTGCGCCGTTCTCCTCCCCAGCTTCCCGCCAGCACCTGACATGCCAGTCCCGGGGCCGCAGGGAAACACGGCGGTGGGGCGGGCAGTTTGCCGGCCCATAGAAGCAATCTGGCGGCAGCTGAGCTGCCAGAATCTCTTCTATTGTAAATCCGGCAGCTGGCTTTACACAGGTAAACAGAGTCCTGTTGGCTTTCTGTTTACAGGGCCATGCTGCCAATGACGTACTATGTATGTCAGTGGACGCAAAGGGGTCAAAGTAAACCTTTGTTTTCCCATGCAGGTCAAAACATTAGGTTCACCTGACTGCATGTCCTTCCATTGCTTACACTTGCCTTACACTTGCTCAGAGCCAAGGGAATGACTCTGTACGGTGGTATGGGGGAGCATGTGATTCTTTATGCTACTTTCTGCCTCCATGTGAAAAGCACAGATTCACTGTAAGCCTGTTCTCTACGTGGGCTCTTCCAGGAGCTTACTCAAAGTTTGCTGGCAGAGGTTAATCTGTTGTTAAGATGTTTTCAGCAGGGATCTCTTAGAGGATGCCCCTTTTTCTTGACTTTCTCTTGTTTTTGTTCCAATATTGTAACACTCACACTGTATCAAACAGATGTTTGCTGTCTGTTTTCAGGGATGATGCTTCACAAGCAACTACAGGAAGGAGGAGCACTCTGGTTTCCAGATCTCACAGTTCCAGATTCTACTTGGATCCTCCCAATATCTTTGGGTTTAATCAACTTGCTGATTGTAGAGGTACAAATACACTCTTTTAGGGAAACTATAGCCGTTCTTTAGTTATAGTTTGAGTTTGCATTGTATTACCTTTTACTGTATATATAAATGGGTCCATTCAATGTACGGTGAATGTATTGAGTAATATACTGTGTGTGTGTAAAGCCAAGTTTTAACAGGAGGCAGCTAGAAACACCACCCCCA